CACTTAAGCATGTTTTTCACCCCTACAGTCTTGTAGAAAGACTTGAGACCTAATCCGAATGTCAGGTTGTTATTTTTCAATGGCTGTGCCAAGCAGTAGTTCAGAGGCTTTCAGCTCTCCCATAACCTTACCATCCCTTCCTCATGTTGCCAAGCCACTCCACACACATACCCTCTATGTAAAAACATGTAACTTCTGAGGATGAAGGGGTGAGGGCCTGAGAAGAGTTACAAAGGTTTGGTAGAATCATATATAGAGGATGAAAGAGGGAACTAACCAGGGGAAACACAGATTTCCAAGATGAGCTTGCAGATCATGAATAAATGCATAATGACAAACATTTTCCCTTAATCCTAAAAACAGACAGGAGTCATAAGAGGATTTTTTTTTTTTTATTGTTGTGCTTTAAGTGAAAGTTTACAATTCAAGTTAGTCTCTCATACAAAAATTTATACATACATTGTTATGTGACCCTAGTTGCTCTCCCTATACTGTGACAGCACACACTCTTGCTTTCCACCCCAGATTTCTCATGTCCATTCAACCAGCTCCCGGCCCTCTCTGCCTACTCATCTCGCCTCTGGACAGCAGCTGCCCATTTAGTCTCATGTATCTACTTGAGCTAAAAAGCATGCTCTTCACAAGTATCATTTTATGTCCCACAGTCCAGTCTAATCTTTGTCTGAAGAATTGGCCTCAGGAATGGTTTTAGTTTTGGGCTAATAGAGTCCGAGAGCCATGTCTTCTGGGATGCTTCCAGTCTCAATCAAACCAATAAGTCTGGTCTTTTTACTAGAATTTAAGTTCTGCACCCCACTTTTCTCCTGCTCTGTCAGGGACTCTCTGTTGTGTTCCCTGTCCTGGTCATTGGTGGTAGCCAGGCACCATCGAGTTCTTCCGGTCTCAGGCTAATGAAGTCTCTGGTTTATGTGGCCCTTCCTGTCTCTTGGGCTAATACTTTTCTTGTGTCTTTGGTGTTCTTCATTCTCCTTTGCTCCAGGTGGGCTGGGACCAATTGATGCATCTTAGATGGCTGCGCACTAGCTTTTAAGACCCCAGATGCCACTCACAAAAGTGGGATGCAGAACATTTTCTTAATAAACTTTGTTATGCCAATTAACCTAGATATCCCCTGAAACCATGGTCCCCACTCACGAGAGGATTTTAAGTAGAGATTTGCTTTTTGGAAAAAAAACTCTAAGTGCAGGCAAAACTTTCCCAAAAGTGTACAGAAGTGGACAGGGAAGTTGGTCTGACAAATCTGGAGTTGGGTATTTGAAGACTGCCAGGACGTGGTAATGAGGCAGTGGAGAGAGGCTGAAATGATGAATCAGTGTTTAAGATAGAGAGGGAGTAAAGAAAACCTAGAAGGGGGCTTTTATATGGGAGAAAAAGGAATCATCAGAGATTAGAGGTCTAGAAGAAAATGGAGAATAGGTATAGTATGAATGAGGGAGGAAGACCACAATGCTAGACCACAGTGAGCTCATCCTTTGAATTCTATTAGCATTTATTATTTGTATAATTAATTCACTGGGAACTTAACTGTATATTATATTGTCTTAAATTGTTATTGAACTTTTCATAGTATTTATGTCCTGTCTCCTCACTTAGGCTCTACTTTCCTCCATGATATGCACTGTGGAGTCCTTAGAGCACCTAGCACAGTGCTCAGCTCTCATTGAGAAAATATCTGTTCAATTGTTGTTGTTGCTGTTAGGTGCCGTCAAGTCATTTCTGACTCCAAGCCACCCTGTGTACAACAGAACAATACATTACCTGGTCCTGTGCCATCCTCACAATCTTTCCTATGTTTGAACCCATTGTTGCAGCCACTGTGTCAATCCAACTAGTTGAGAATCTTCCTCTTTTTTGCTGACTCTCTCCCTTACCAAGCATGATGTCCTTCTCCAGAGACTGGTCCCTCCTGATAATATGTCCAAAGTATGTGAGATGAAGTATTGCCATCCTCGCTTCCAAGGAGCATTCTGGCTGTACTCCTTCCAAAACAGACTTGTTCATTCTTCTGGCAGTCCATAATATATTCAGTACTCTTCGCCAACACCATAATTCAAAGACATCAGTTCTTCTTATGTCTTCCTTTTTCACCATCCAGCTTTCGCATGCATATGAGGCAACTGAAAACACTACCGCTTGGGTCAGGCGCACCTTAGTCCTTAAAGTGACATCTTTGCCTTTCAACACTATAAAGAGGTTTTTGCAGCAGATTTGCCCAGTGCAATACGTCATTTCATTTCTTGACTGTCACTTCCATGACGTTGATTGTGGATCCAAGTAAAATGAAATCCTTGACAATTTCAATACTTTCTCCATTTATTACCTCAACATCCACAGAAGCAGTAGTCAAGAAATCAAAGGACGCATTGCATTGGGCAAATCTGCTGCAAAAGACCTCCCTAAAGTATTCAAAAGAAAAGAAAGACGTCACTTTGCGGACTAAAGTGCATCTGACCCAAGCCATGATATTTTCAGTCACCTCATATGCATGCGAAAGCTGGACAATGAATAAAGAAGACTGAAGAAGAATCGACGTCTTTGAATTATGGTGTTGGCGAAGAATACTGAATATACCACGGACTGCTAGAAGAACAAACAAATTTGTCTTGGAAGAAGTACAGCCCAAATGCTTCTTAGAAGCAAGGATGGCAAGACTTCGTCTCAGGTACTTTGTACACGTTATCAGGAGGGACCAGTCCCTGGAGAAGGACATCATGCTTGGTAGAGGGTCAGCGAAAAGGAGGAAGACTCTCAGTGAGATGGACTGACACAGCAGCTGCCACAATGGGCTCAAACACAGCAATCAATGATTGTGAGAATGGTGCAAGATCGAGCAGTGTTTCATCCTGTTGTACACAGGGTCTCTACGAGTCAAAAAGAACTTTACAGCACCTAACAACAACAGAGCAGCAGGGCCGTTCCAGATAAACTATTAAGTCCACAGCAACCAGCTTACCAATCTCCCAGGAAAGCCTTGAGAAATACTCATAAATCTTGTCTGTGGCTCTCATGATACCCTTTCTTATTTACAGTGAAACTAATAGCTAATTTATCAAAGTAATTTTTAAGATAAAAGCAAATTTAAAGAAAAAAGCAAATACCATCATAAAACAAAAATTTAAAATTACTTATAAAAATCTGATTAAAAATAATCTCTACAGTTTTGCTCTTTTTGACAAATACTCTGTTAAAATATGTTAAATATTTTAAAATAACATTAAAAATGTTAAAATATTAAATGTAGAGAAATTCTTGGCAATATATTTGTGACTCGATAGCAATTTCTGTAAAAATGCTTTATTCTCACACTGTTGTATTAATGCTGTTTAACTCGTGGTATCTGATTTCTAAAAAAAAAAATCAATTAACTCCTGGGTTTAAGAACTCATTTTCTTTTAGTTTTAGTGTCTCAATTTCTAGTGTCTACTGATTATGGAAAAAAATTACAGTGGGTCAAAATGTTTGATAAAATCTTTTTAGAGAAAACAATATATTGCAGTTAATGTGATTATTTTTAAAGGCACAGTCTCAAGAAAATTAAAGGAATGTTTGATATGTAGCTATAGAAAAGAGTACACTTTTTAGTTGTAAAGGTAACAATCTTGTGAAGGTTTGCAGGGCAGTGTATAAGCACGTAAGAGATAATCTACCAACAAACTCAGTGCAATATCAAACGATAAATTACTAATAATAACTGAAATAATATGAAGTTGATTGAAAATAACGATTAAGAGTATATTTCACTTTACACTCTGGTTGTGTTTTTATAAACTTTTACCTAAGCCACATTTTAGGAAATAGAATATTTAAGTGCTCAAAAGGTAATTTCTCTCATTAAGAAGAACCTCATATTAAATTTACTTGTAAAGCAGTGTTAATGGCAAAGTTATCTGTTTGGAGATTTGGACTTACTTCAATTTTTTAAAAAGCCGTTTGTATTCTCATAGAATAAAGTACCATGAACAGTTTATGATAAAGTCCAAAGTTTTATTACTCAAATCTGATCTAGAACAGAATGTCAGAGAACTAGAAAAATGCATTAATTCTTATTCAGTTATCTTATTCAGCTATCAGAATAATAAACTTTAATAGCATTCCATTAATAACTCTTATACCCACCCAAAATCAAACTCACTGCCGTTGAGTAAATTCTGACTCATAGCAACCCTAGAGGACAGAGTAGAACTGCCCCATAGGGTTTCCAAGGCTATAAATCTTTATGAAAGCAGACTGCCACATCCTTTTCCGGAGGAGCAGCTGGTGGATTCCAACCACCGACCTTTCGATTAGCAGCCAGGTGCTTTAACCACTGCACCATCAAGTTCCTTAACAGCTTTTATAAGCAAGTCACAAAACTTGAACTATTTTTTATGTTAATACCTGACTGTGAGCCAATTCTTATAATAAGCTGTTTTTTCTTTTTTTATACAATCATTGCTTAAAATATATTTTTTTGGTAAATATGCTCATAATGAAATAAGTGAGAGTATTAGTATAGTAATTAACAGCAGGGTTCAAATTCCAGCTCTTCCACTTACAAAGGATATGTGATCTCAAAGAAATTGCTTGATTTTTCTAAGCCTCAGTTTCCTCATCTATGGAAAGGGAAAAATAGTAGTACCTACCTTATAAGGTTGTTATGATAATTAAAAGAAGTTAATCTTTAAAAAGTACTTGGCGCAGTGACACACAGAGTAAGTACTAAATAAGTGAGTGCTATTGTTGTTGTTGTTCCGGATTTTAATCTTTGAAGGCAGCAAATGCCAAATTCTCTTCTCTAGTTGGGGCTCAATATAACAAAGTCAAAGAGGGCAGAATACTCTGTTCTATTTCTCATCATAGCATGGTAAGGATTTCTGATTTACCCGATTTACTGTAATACTTTCACTTTCTTGTGCTTATAATAAACATTTAAAGTTGGATACCTAAAAGCAACAACTGATGATGCCCTTCATTGAGATATCAATATAGAGGTTACCCACCTGTGCAGCTCTTCTGTTTTGTCTTCAGTTGGACCTACGATTAGTAAACAATGGCGAAGGACAGCTGCCATGACACGGAACTGATGAGAATCACTCTACGGCAAATAAAAAAGAAGAAAGGAAAAATTGGGGGGGTGAATGCTTTAATGAAGAAGTCTGCTGCATTACTACATCCCTGGGAGTCATTTTATGGCCCATCTGCCCCTCAAAGCAGTCATTTTTATCATATACACGCTGGAAGGCAGGATATTCTAGGAAGAATTCCCTAGGCAACACTAAGGGAATAGTCACTCCTACAGAACAGCCACAGCCAGCTTCAGACGCTGACACCAGAAGTTGCTGACCTGGCAAAGAAAGGCATGATGCGCACCCATGCACTACCCACTCTGTTTTACCTTTAGATTTAATTCCACTAGTGATGTTTTCATTTCCAGAAAGTCTAGATTCTTCTGTTCTATTGTATCTAGTCATTTTAAATTTTCGAACAGATGTAATGTTACCATTTATTTTAGGAGCTGGTTGTACATCTTTAATAAAAATGTCTCCTCTCTTAACTAGCAAAGGCAATGAATTCAAACCTACAATCCACCAACTTCGTTTTAATCTTCTTAATTTCTTAGCTCCCCTAGAGCTACTAGCAAGTGAAAAAAACAAGTAATCTAAGTTTTATGTCCTATTTTTCCAATGTTTACTTATTGGTAGTGGTATTAAACCACCACCCATCTGTCAGTTTGTTGTACTATAGTGGCTTGCGTGTTGCTATGATGTCGGAGGCTATACCACTAGTATTTCAAATACTAGCAGGGTCACCCATGGTGAACAGGTTTCAGTGGAGCTTCCAGACTACGAAAGACTAGGAAGAAAGTCCTGGTGATCTACTTCTGAAAATTAGCCAATGAAAACCTTATGGATCACAACAGACCATTGTCTGACTTGCTTGCTTTGGACATGTAATCAGGAGGAATCCATCGCTAGAGGAGAACATCAGGTTTGGTGAAGTAGAGGGCCAACAATGGCACAGAAGACCCTTGGTGAGATGGATTGGCACAATAGCTGCAACTAAGGACTTCAAAATGTTGGTGATTGTGAGGATGATGCAGGACAAGGCAATGTTTTGTTCTGTTGCATGTAAGGTTGCCATGAGTTGAAGTGGACTCGATGGCAGCTAACAACAATAGTGGTATCAATGAGACACATGATGTCAGAGGGAAGAAAGCAAGTGGTAGGAAATAAACTAAGTGCTGAAAAATCAACTCTAAGGGGAAAAAAAATTTTTTTTCCTATAAGAACTTGGTTTACCTCATTTTTAGTGAGATCTTGGGCCACTACAATTTGTTTGATCATATGCATCAAAGTCATATCTCTTTTCTACCAGATTTTTAGAAATTACGAAGACATACGAAATTAGATAGTTATAATAGAAAGCTTGGATATGCCGTACTTCAGGAAGGCTCCAATTACTTCAAAAGCTATTTAAAAATTCTAAAAAATTCTTAGTATACAACTGCATTCAAGTCCAAGTAAACTGAAATATATTTACATACATAACTCATGTGAGTGCACTTTCATTACTCCTAATACCTACCCACTGCCATCGAGTCGCTTTCAACTCATAGTGAGCCTACAGGACAGAGTAGAACTGCCCCACAGAGTTTCCAAGCAGACTGCCACATGTTTCTCCCATGGAGCAGCTGGTGGGTTTGAACCACCGACCTTCTGGTTAGCAGCTGAGTGCATTAACCACTGCACCACCAGGGCTCCGGGACTCCTAACACATATGAAAATATTTTAAACATAACAATACCATGTGTACATTTGGAAGAGGTGAAGGCCTCAGTGACATAAGGGAAAAAGCACTGCACCTGGAGTCAGGAGTCCAGAGTATGACCTTAGACAAGTCACATAACTTCTCTGAACCTCAGCTTCCCAGAATGCATCTCCGTAAGCATGAAAGTGCTTAGTCCTTTTGATAAAACATTAGCAGGGGAAAGGGGAAAGAGGAAGGAAATAAAAGGTAAGACAGAGCTGAAATAAGTGATAATGAAATAACTGGGAGGGGTTGCGAGGGAAAAGGGGAAGAGGGACCAATGGAATGCCAGAGACACTAAGTCTAGCAGGGTTGCAATGAGCGTGATCCCATTTGCCATCTATCTCCAAGTGCCTTATTAAAAATTATCTTATATGTAAATACAATTTTACTTACCACAAATTACACGAAGCACACTGAAACCCATGTGAAACTCATCAATTACTTAAATCTCAGTAAGATAATATCTTCCTTGGTTTTGAAAATTAACAGGCAAATGCACTTGCTTTTAAACTAGATTTTCCTTTATTCTTGATATCACTATCTTTTTCCTCTCATGCTGATGTTGAAAAGTCTCTTGCAAAACTATCCATTTTGGTCTTTCCATTATTTGCAACTACAAACGAAAATCCTGCTTCCTTCCATCCTATTTCCCTTTCTCCTAGTTTTTACAACACAGATTCTCAAGTTGTACCCCATGACTGGAAAGTCCCTCCCTGGGTGGCGTAACCAATTAAGCGCTTGAGTATCAGCTAAAAGGTGGGCCGTATGAACCCATCCAGAGGCTCCTCAGAAGACAGGCCTGGTGATTTGCTTCCAAAAGGTCACAGCCTTGAACCCCACAGAGCAGTTCTACTGTGTACACATGGGTCACCATGAGTCAGAATCAACTTGACAACAACTAGCAACAACCCTATGCCTGCAATGCCCTCTCATACCCTAAATTCACTAAATTATCTCCATTTCTCTACTGACAACAACTACTAAAATCTCTGAATTGTTTGCCCCTGCTCTTGGCACCGCTGATTACTCTTCATCCTCCAGGTCTCAGCTAAAATATTATCTTCTCAGAGAAGTCCTTTTTTTTTAACCACCTTAGCTATGTAGATTCCTTCCTCCATTATTCTCTATCTTATTACAATTTCTTTTTGTGAAATCCTAATTTGTAATTTCATGTTTATTTACTTTCATATACTTTGCTTCCTTCACTAATCTACTACCCTCACAAGGACAGAGGCCATGTGTTTAATAATTTTTTAAAAAAATTTTATTGTGATTTAGGTGAAAGTTTATAGTGCAAATTAGTTTCTCATTCAAAAATTTATACAAAAATTGTTTTGTGACATTGGTTGCAATCCCTGCAATGGGTCAACAGTTCCCCCTTTCCACCCCAGGCTCCCCGTGTCTATTTGTCCGGTTTTCCTGTCCCTTCTTGCCTTCTCGTCTTTGCTTTTGGGCAGGTATTGCCCAACTGGTCTCGTATACTTCATTGAGCTAAGAAGCACGTTCGTCACGTGTGTTACTGTTTGTTTTATTGGCCTGTCTAATATTTGGCTGAAAGGTGGACTTCAGGAGTGGTTTCAGTTCTGATTTAGCAGGGTGTCCGGGGCCACAGTCTTGGGGGTTCCTCCAGCCTCTGTCAGACCAGTAAGTCTGGTCTTTTTTTGTGAATCTGCATTTTGTTCTACATTTTTCTCCTGCTCCCTCTGGGATCCTCTACAGTGATCCTTGTCAGTGTGGTTGGCGGTGGTAGCCGAGTACCATCTAATTCTTCTGGTCTCAGGCTGGTGTAGGCTGTGGTTCATGTGGTCCATCAGTCCTTTGGACTAACATTTCCCTGTGTCTTTGGTTTTCTTCATTCTCCTTTGCTCCGAATGGGATAGGACCAATAGATGTATCTTAAATGGCCATTTGCAAGCTTTTAAGACCACAGACACTACTAAGCAAAGTAGAATGTAGAACATTTTCTTTATAAACTATGCTAAGCCAATTGACCTAGATGTCCCCTGAGACCATGGTCCTCAGCCCCCTGCCCCAGTAACTTGGTTCCTCAAAGGTGTCTGAATGTGTCTAGGAAACTTCTATGACTTTGCCTTGGTCAAGTCGTGCTGACTTTCCCTATATTGTGTGTTGTCTTTCCCTTCACCAAAGTTAATGCTTGTCCACTAACTAGTTAGTGATTTCCCCTCCTCAACCATCCCTTCCCTTGTAACTATCAAAGATTGTTTTTTTCTTGTATAAACTTTTCTTGAGTTTTTATAATAGTGGTCTCATACCGTATCTGTCCTTTTGTGACTGACTTATTTCACTCAGCATGCCTTCCAGATTCATCCATGTTGTGAGATGTTTTACGGATTCATAATTTTTCTTTATAGTTGTGGAGTATTCCACTGTGTGTATGTACCATAATTTATCCATTCACCTGTTGATGGGCACTTAGGCTGTTCCCATCTTTTTGCTATTGTGAATAATGCTGCAATGAACATGGGTGTGCGTATGTTCGTGTGACGGCTCTTATTTCTCTAGGATATATTCCAAGGAGTAGGATTGCTGGATCATATGCTATTTCTATTTCTAGCTTTTTAAGGAGGTGCTGTATCATTTTCTACAGTGGTTTACCATTTTATATTCTCACCAGCAGTGCATTAGAGTTCCAATCTCCCCGTAATCTCTCCAACATGTTATTTTGTTTTTTGTTTTTAAATTAGTGCCAGTAATGTCAGGGTGAGATGGTATCTCATTGTAATTTTGATTTGCATTTCTCTAATGGCTAATGATCGCAAGCATTTCCTCATGTGTCTGTTAGTCACCTGAATGTCTTCTTTGATGAAGTGTCTGTTCATATCCTTTGCCCGTTTTTTAATTGGATTATTTGTCTTTTTGTTGTTGAGGTATACAGATTTTAGAGATCAGACCTTTGTTGGCTATGTCATAGCCAAATTTTTTTTCCCAGTCTATAGGTTCTCTTTTTACTCTTTTGGTGAAGTCTTTTGCTGAGCATAAGTTCAGTTTTTAGGAGCCCCCAGTTACCTACTTTATCTTCTGCGGTTTGTACACTGTTAGTCTGTCTTCTATTTATGTCATGTATTACGACCCCAACCATCATCCTTTTTTTTTTCTCCCATGATCTTTATCATTTTAGGTTTTATATTTAGGTCTTTTAGCCATTGTGAGTTAGTTTTTGTGCATGGTGTGAGGTATGGGTCCTGTTTCGTTTTTTTTTTTTTACAGATGGACATCCAGCTTTGCCAGCACCATTTGTTAAAAAGACTGTCATTTCCCCATTTA